GTTCAAAATTTGGCAAACCAGAACTTTACAGCAAATCCTATTGCGGTCTATGTGGAAAAAGTCCTATTTCTAAATTCTGGCCATATTTTGGGCTAATAGGCAAAACCCCCCAGAGTTTCCACAAGGACTTCCATGACTTTGATAATCCCTGCCAGGACCCCTGATCCAGAGGGGTATTTAAGCATCAGCTCTGGAAGTGGCTGGTGCTGTGTCTGCAAACCAGCGACCCTATATTGTGCTAACTTGGACTGCCTGACTACTCTCTGCTTGCTGCCTGGACCAGATTACCCTTTCAGCTGATGTCTTATCTACTGATTACTGGTTGCTACCATGGACTGCCTGACGACCCTCTGCTTATCACCTCCCAAAACCCCTGCTTGATCCTGACCACTCTCTGGCCTACTGCCCTGTCTACTGTCTCTCCATTGTAACCTTCCTGCCCTCTCTCATTCCTTGGCAGGGTGATCCTGAGGGCCACAACCTGGTACCAGCTTACAGCAACAGCCCATCTTCACCGTCAGCAGCTCTGGAAAAGACCAGCTGGTGTTTAGACCCTGTGCCTCGGGTGAGCCCGCATCTTCTGCCAGGAGCTGTCACCCTAACACACTGTCATGGGGCACATTTAATAAAGTAAAAAAAGTAAAAGTTTCTATAAATACCATTTGATAGTATAGTTTGTGAGCTTCTTTTATACAAATGAACTAAGAAAAGGATAAGCGCACTACTGGGGCAATGATGGGGGAATAATGAACACAGAGTATTGATAACAACAATGATAAACAGTGTGCACTCTCCTTTAGCAGGGAGAGGAGCCCTGTACCTGGAATAGACAAAAAATGACTACACATTTACCCAGGCTTGACAAAGAGGCAGAGCCTCGAAACGTATAGCCGTCAGTTAGACCTTGGGGTTCTCTCACCCCTTTCCACACCTCACTGGGACCACCCTCTCCACAGTTGCTCCAGTGTAGACATTTCTACACTGGAATTGCCCGTCGGCACGAACGCTCCCGGCTCAACCCGCCACAGCTCAGCCTGGCCAGCTGAGCGCGTGTCACTTTTCAGCTTTTGTTTTTTTGTGACATTCATTTTTGCTACATCGGGGATAACATCCAACAAGGACTGCATATCTCCAACACGCATACCCCATGGACCATGGGACATTCCTTCAAATGCTACCCTTTTTTCATCCATGACTCCACATGAACAATGTAATTCACGTCTGCCTTGATGTTACATACACTCCTTATGGTCACCATCTAAAAGTACACTCCTGCATCCTTTCACGTATATATTAATTTATAGCCACCATACCACTAGAAGTAGTTCCCCAGGTAGTAGCGCTCCTTTCTATGTTTTTTTATACAAATTAGAGTGTGTTATCTGAGAGACAGTAGCCAAAAATATTTTATAGTGGTTGGAAGGTATGTAATCATCTTGGTTAGGATGCAATTTATATAGGGGAGAAGAGGTTTTGTCTTAAAATAAACATTACAATATATTATCTGAGAGAAAATAGCCACAAATATTTTTAAGTAGTATAGAATTGAAGCATCAAAATAGGCTGCAAACATTAAGGGAAATGGCAGGATTTATTCTTCAGCAACCATTTTGCAGCTGAGGTCAAGCTCTGGGAACATTGTGTGGCCTTTTATACAGTGCCTGGCCACCAGAATAAGCCGCAGACTTTGAGACACAATGTAGGATTTACCCTGCTATCCTAACATCCTAAGTAATTTTGCATCTGACCTCAGCTGTGGAAACAAGGTGTCTCATTTTTATAGTGCTTGGGAATTGGAATAGGCCCCAAAGCTTGAGATGCAATGCATAATTCACCGTGCAACAAACATTAGAAATGTTGCAGGTCCAGCAGCAGAAACATTGTGCAGCATCTTTACAGTACTGGTGCACAGGAACAAGCCAGGAGAGGTTCACCTCACTGTAACAAAACCACCTGCTGCGCTAAGGTCCTCTCAGACAGGTTCTCTGCGGGGCAAGCTAGAAGCTCCAGCATATACTGTCCAAACTCCTGGCAGTGGTCCAGCCTGCACATCCAGTAGTCCCTGGGGTCCACACTCCTCATAGAGTCTGCATCAGTTCAGTGGTGTGCATGGCGTGGTGGTGTCAGCAACTCAACTACCACCTGTGCGTGCTGCGGCTATCTAGCAGGTCAGTACTTGCTGACACACACAAAAAGGTAGTTGTAAAAAGCACTGTTAGGCCTCGGAACTGTGAAAAAAAGTGGGCGTACGCAACAGTATGTAGCCCACCACAATGCAATACTATATAGCACAATATATAACACAGTATAGCAAACTAACTCGCCCTACACGGACTGTCAGCTCTCTCTACATTGCACCAACACACACTGACAACCCTTTTATAATGGAGGACCTGGCACATCGCAAAGCCCCTATTGTTGGCCATTCTAAAACTGCTGGCCATAGCTAGGCAGGGCATAATAGCAGGGCATAAATCTGCATAAATTAAGGGGTACCACAAACCTTGAACCCCCCAGGTTTGCCGCAATCCCACTGCACAGTGAAACTCAAACCTCATCCCTACTGGTAGCCACACAGATACCTATTCATAGCTAAGGGAACACAATTAGTAGAAATTATGAATCAAGTTTAGTAGACAGTGTGTTCCATCACATGATTAGCTCTTAATCATCAAAATACCAACAGGAACAATTTTTAAATGAGAATATACTGTAGATATAGTTGGAGAAAATGTTGTTCTATATATAGATTAAATTGTAAACATTTTCTTTATTTCGGCTAATGTTGTGCTATAGGCATAGCGTGACGAGCAATGGTAACACCTCATCATTCTATAACGAAGACTTGGGCAGACTAATAAAAGCTTCATGGTTCTGTGAGTCATGATATCAAATGGACCATTTTGTGTTCCTTTCTCGATTAACACCACAGCTATAGCATTCATGTAAATGCTGGTCTTGGAAACATGATATGTTTATATTGCTTGTTAATAAACCATTTGTCAAGGACTCTTTTTATCAGCAGTTATAAACCACTGTACTGTAATAAAATAACTAAGATGTAGTAGATAAATCCCTCTGTATAGTTTGTATATTACACAATAGTTCAGTGTACATCACTACATGGTAATATAGTTTTGAACAGCATTCAGGGTATTCCAGTAAAAGAAAGACTTCCTAGTATACTTGCAATGTAAAATTTGCAGGATATAATTCTTCTATTTCCTTTCTAACCTATTAAAGTGGACCTGTCACCGTAATGGGCAACATCAACTTAAAGAGAACTATAGGGTAATCTTTTTTCCATAGTTCTCTTTAGGGTCATGGGAGGATATATAGTAACGTCCTCCCATGACCCAAACCTCAGTATATTGTGGGCTATTGCCCGCTATATGCGGAGAGTGCCTCAGCCGGTACAGATCCCGACAATAGCGTCGAGATCCATCCTGCTGGCTGATTGACAGTGGGCTCCGCGTATCTAACAGCAGAGCCTAGTATGCCCACCCCCTTTCCCGTACGTTCCTTCAGTCAGCGATGGAGGATCAGAGAGGGGTGGGGGAATCCCTGTGGCGAGCGGTGACTGACAGTCACCTCTCTCTGCAGGGAAATGATCTAGAAGTGAGCAAGCAGTGGTATATTTTCCCTCACTTTCCGATCAATAGAGCCGACGTGTCAGTTTCAATGTCACACGCCGGCTTTAACCATGGGGATGAGTGTAATTCACTCACCCCATAGTTCTCCTTGAACCATAATTAGAATGATGTTTATGAATGCCATATACTGTAGCTAATATACCAGTACCACCAATGTAAATGTCACATACCTACTTCACCGGATTGAGTATGCAGCTCTAGGTATTATAGGGGGTGTTTTATGAATGTAAATCAAAAAATAAATGTTTCTTCTATCCATATACTTTAGTTTTTATAGTGTGTGTTAATGTGAATGTAAATCATAAAATGCATTCCTCTGCTATCCATATACCTACAGTGTATTGCATTGATTGGATATAAGGTGCACAGGTGGCCAGATGAGTGTATAATAAAAAGTTACTCAGTCCATTATGGGCCAGTGGGCAAAAAATATAAATTTCATTGGCAACAGTAGAAAATGCTAAAATAGTTAGGCACCAGTTTAAAATATGTTACCTCGTAACTAATTAGCTCTTGTGATATGACAAGCTCTGTTATGGAGTTATAGAATGCTTCACCCGTGACTCTGTTATCTCAGAGGTAAAGGAAGATACAAACCACAACTTGCGGATGATAGGCTACCACTCATTTAACTCATTTAATTTTAATTTTTTGTGTTTAGATATGCTTTAAAATTAGGACTTAGGCTAAGAATTATATTTTTAGGGGTAACAAGTATATTTTTTGACCACGATCAATAATTTTGGTATAACAAATTATGATCTCATGCCAAACCATGCTTACCATATCAGTCTGACATAGCAACACCTTATGCATCATTATTGAATGTAAAGTGTCTGCTAATAGTGCCATAAATCAGAGGGCTTCAGATAAGCCTCAGAATGAACATAGGAGGCTAACAACTAACTACAGCACCCCATGGATGGCTGTTCTGAGCATGGCTGCAGCATCTACACCTTCTAAACCCAAAGTAATGAAGGTATAATACCCTTCCTGGGTATCCCCAATGGAAAATTAAAATTTTAAAAGAGAATAATTAAGAGCACATATTCTTGAAGCAATATCATTCATTTGCACCAATGTTTTTATTGGTCCCCAGTATGTTACATTGTACTAAACACATAAGGCAAGCAAAGACAATTTATACAAAAACCTAACTGTAATATGTGCTGAGTTTTTCTTTGGCATTGCTCCTTATTTCTGCCTATTTTATGTACACAGAACATATTCTGATTTTGTTGGCGCTTAACAAAATAACAAATAGAACCATACATTAAAAAGTTTAAAGTATAAAATTACTGAAACACAGCAAAACTTTGAAACTGAGTTTTGAGTCTGGACTGCAGGTTAAACATAAGCTCTTTCAGTTGAAGTTTCTTTCCTCTCTTTGAATTGGGTAAAGTCACTGTCTGGTGCTGCTGGGTAGTTGTATTTGTAGCCTCTGAAAAAAAAAAGTAATAAAATAGTTTTAATGTATTTTCACGAAGTACATAACCATCATCTCAATAGTCAAGACTCCTTGCTAGTGTATCTGGCACCAGGACTGCTACTATGCACAATGTGATATCTGTCTGAAGTCTGACAACCCTTGCAGCCAGCAACCCTAGTCTAGGCTGAAACACGTTGGATGCAGGATACAATGCCAATAGCCGGCTAACAATTATTCATAATGCATGAAAAAGTCCCTGATCGGTAGAAAACTGGAAAAAAAACCTTGATAAGCTGCAACAAGGCCCACAATCCTGGGCATTTCTTTGGACCTTCAAAGCAAACATTAGGATGTGTTTTGTCTACTTTATACACTGTTCTACATTTCCAACCTTGCACGTACTGTATATGTGATAAATGATACATACCCTTTTTTGGCAGGTGTTTTCTTCTTCTTGAATGAACAACACAGTAAGGAACCTCCAAGAATTGCCAGAAGAGATCCAGCCCATCCAATATACAGAGCAGAACCAAGCTCATACCTGAGATGGTAGAATTTGCATTAAGAGTGTACATTCAGAAGGGACTAAATTGTATTTAGTAGAAATTGGCACTGTTTAGTACAATGCAAACCCATAGCGGATGATTTATAAATCATCATGTCCATCGAGACATATGCTGGCAGAATGCAGTTTGCACAGTATTTTTGCCACTAGATGGAGCCGAGGAACATAGATATATATTATGCTCCTTGGTACCTAGTGGCGAGAATACCATGTGAATGCCAGTGGGCCAGCATATGACTGGGCGGATGATTAATAAATCATCCCCATACTGTAAACGGAATATGTCAACAGTTAAAGTACCTGTATATTTAAAGATAAAACATTTTTTCTTTTAGTTTTAGATGGAGTATAGAATGGTTAAACCCCTGTCAGGTTCTTTTTTTTTATGTCTGTGTTCTATTGGACATCTTGTCCTGGAGACACTAAAGGAAGATGTAACAAAGTGAGGGGAAAATCACCGCTTAGATAGCAGTCACCAGGTGACCCATTAAGGCCTCTCAATTGCTTAACTGACTAGACATTAAGACTCAAAAAGTGCTAAAAGGGAAATAGAAGTTTGAAAATGTATAATCCTTCAGTTTTCTTCAAGGTCAGCCCCAGGCCAGAAACCACAACTATATGAAATTAAAACTTTTTCAATATATCTATTCAACAAAATCAAGCAACTGACTGATGCCTTTTATTTAAAAATTATTAGGAAAATCACATCCTTGATAAATGGTAATTTAGAAGTCTACGGGGCTCATCAATCTTCATCTCCCAGATGGGAGACAAAGGTAGATGAGTCCTATAGAAGGATATGGGGCAGTAATGTGCCTGCCCCAAGAGAGAGAGGACTGGCATTGCGGATGTAAATAAACAGCCGAGGCCGCAATACTCGAATCTCGGTAATTATCTGTCTGCATTTGGTTAGCTCAGGGCAAAGGGGCAAAAAGAATAAAAGTGCGCTTTGTTTTTAAGTGAACCTATCCTTTAAGGGTATGAAATCTAGGGGAAAACCTCTGTCATGCCCCTTCCCGTGGTGCCCTCAGCATGTGCTTATATTGTGGCTAATCCAGCCTTGAAGGTAACCCCAAGTTTACAGCCTTGAACGTTTCCTCCTATTCCTTGATTTGTGACAACTGAAACGTTTTGGACATTCTGTACATGAGACAACAAGTCAACAGGACATATAGGGAGGCTTAATATCTTGAGTGTGGACACAGACAGTTATAAAGCCTCAAAGAAGTATTTTTTTAGCACTTCCGCACTCTATCTGAAACAAGGACACAAAGTTCGTTAGCTATACTTTGAACAGAAAATTCATATATTGGTAAAAATAGCCTGCTCCCTAATAAAATGTTGGTATTTTTGTGACTTAAAGGAAAGGTGTCATATGAGAAATAAGGAGGCCGCCATTGCAGGCCTCTCTTACAAAAATGTTGGTTGTCTGGCTGCTTTGTTGAAGTTCACGCTTTAACACTTTGGTCACTAACCAATGGAAGCCCCTTGTAGTTCTCTCATTTCAGGTTTACTTTAAAATGCATGTAAAGGCAAATGGAAGGATTAGATCCTTTGTCAGGTTTTTATTGCCGGGTGCAACCCAGCTGGGAAGATTCACTCCTGCCCTGGTGACCATTGTCACTGAAACAAAAAGTTATAGGAAATCGAGACATCTTGAGTTGTCATCACCGAAAGAGGCGAGAGAAAATCATCCCATGGGGGGAATTTTGTTTAATTTAGAGACATTTTCTTTTCATTTTATGTGGTGTCTCCAGGACAAGAAGTCAGGTAAAATCTTTCTCAGAGGGCAAAAACATATAGATTGATAGAGATTTTAACCAATCCCTACTCCAAAGCTGGAAAAAAAAGTTTTTGATTTATAAAAACTTGTAATGCACATCAGAGATACTATTTTTGACAAGCCCGATACATACATTACATTTTTCTCTGTCTTGCCATAATTTGTATTCATAAAATAAGTATTTATGGGGGGTAGCACAGCTCTTTGCATTAGTAATAGATTGTAAGTTCTTGCAAGCAGTGCCAATTATTGAGAGCACTGTATTGCAGGCTGTCCCTGCATTGTAAAAACTGTGATTACCAGTTTAATGTATAACAGTGCTTTAAAAAAAATAGATAATAAAGAGCACATTGACACTTCAAAGAGGATGAGCTAGTATGTATTTATATATAATATCTGTATAGGGAGCGTCATATCCCCATTTCCTGATGCGTACAATGACCATTCATTCCTGTCCCTGAAGGAATATTTACTATGTTTGCAAACATAAGATAAGTACAAAAACATTGTAAAATAGAAATCACTTACTTTATTCCACCGTAGAGAGGGTTAAAGAACTCTTGGGTGATTGAGGCTGCATACCAGGACACTGCCACTAAGCATGAAAGCCCTACGTGTGCAGAAATAAATTATTACATCTCTGGAATTAATATACTGGTTGCACAGAGTTTTAACTATTTACCACCATAGTACACACATACTGTATATATTCCAGTCGTGAGAGCAATCTGCAAGCATTGCATCTCTTTGCCTACTGATGCCTAATAAACACCCCCCTTTGGCTATGCCAGTCAATTATAATGGGGTCTGCTGCTGCAGAGCCAATGTAAAAGCCTTTATGCCAGTTCCTACTTAAAAAAGCAACAATCCATTTTCTGTGTCTAGTGTGCCCTATACCCAGAAATGCCATTTTTTCTTGGGGTAGTGGACCTGGATGATGAGTAGGGTAAGAACAGGCACCTTAAGGGTAACATTAATCTTAGTTGCATAATAAATTGCAAAGTAAGAGCAAATTAGTAACACGGTCTTACAAGTCTACCATGTGCATATGAAAGGCTATCAACACAATATATCTAACAGCAATAAGTTTAAAAATGTAAAGATCACATCAAACATGGAAAATAACTTGATATGTGTATTTTATTACAGTATGCTATAAGTTCCATTTAATTCGCTTTGCCCTATGCTATGTCTGCCTCTGCCTTTGCCTCTGGTAATTAGTGATAAGCAAGTTGGCCTGGGTTCACTTCACTTGGACACTTGGATGTTTGCTGAACCCAGCTAATATTCCAGGTCCAGCAAAGTCCAATCGAACAAAACCCAGGGACAACTGTGTCCTAGCATCATTGGTTGGTGGAACACTAGTGGCTGAGGCACACATTGTCACTGATTGCTAAGAGGTCAGTGGCTGGGTTGGGGTGGATAGTGTCACTGGCTGGTAGGAGGCCAACAGCTGGGCTGCACAGCCTCATTGAGTGCTAAGAGGCTAGTGGTTTGGCCGTATAGTGTCACTGGTTGCTAGGAAGCCAGTGGCTGGACTGCAGAGCATCAGCTCTTGCTAGGATGCAGGCAGGTGCACCATAACAACTAATACCTTGCCTTGTATCTCCTAATGTAAGGGTGTCTACCTCTACTGGTACATCTGCAATCTTTTGGCAACAATCAGTTTTTGGCACAGGCATTTCCTGAAATGAATTCTGGCAGGAAAGCTGCATATAAATGTATATTCTTTAGAAAATGATTTATTCATTAAACATTATTCATATCTGTCTTCCTGGCATAGATTGCAAAGCACCACCGCCACCACTTCAATCAATCAACAATGCCTCTGTTTTCCAGCAATGTCTTTTTTGTGGAATCTGCAATTCATAGCCATGCGACCAGAAGAATAAATCGTGAGACCTTAATACAGCAAAAATCAGCTTCTTTGGGGGTCCCTAGCTGACATTAGGGGTCCTAAAGACCCCTGATGTCTCCATAAAGAGGGCATGTCACATCCTCTTTGCTATCACATGGGGGGCTTCTTAGTCCCCTGTGTGATAACAATAAAGTTAGGTGAAAAAGAAATGTGAAAAAAACTAAAGTTGCACAAAAAACATTTAAGTCACACATATAAAAGAATTTTGAAAAACAAACATTTTTAAAAAGTCCCCACCCCCACATACGCACGTGCAAACATGCGTAAGGTGCGCACACATGCGAAAACGACATATGCGCCCATTATGCTTCACATGTTACATATTACCGCGAACTTCCGAGTAAGAGCAATAATTCTAGGGCCATTATTCACTGATAAAATGGCCTATGGTCAATTTTGGGTATGGTAGTGTTTTGTGATTTCGTAGGTGTGGGCAATTTTAAGGCTTGACATGTTTGGTGTGTGTTTACCCAATGTGACCCCGTGGTTTATATTTTACCAAAAATAAATGTATTATAATAGAAATGTAGTAAAATGTAATAAATGTATTAAAATAATAAATGTATTGTAACATCATGTAAAAAAAAGCTGTCTTTTTTTTCTAAATTTTCAATAATTTTTCCTTAATATAGTAAAAAATAAAAACCCCAGTGGTGATAAAATACCACCAAATGAAAGCTCTATCTGTCCCCCAAAAAAATTTACAAAATTAATTTCAGTACATCGTTGCATGACGGAATAAATGCTAAAGTACCTCAGCACTGAATACTGAAAAATGGCCTGGGCAGGAAGGGGGTGTAAACACCTGGAGGGGGATTTATGTGGAGCAGCCAAAATCTGGAGCAGCTGTGCATGACAACCAATCAGCATCCACCTTTCATTTTCTAAGTTTAACTGAACAGACTGAAGAGAGAAGCTGATTGGTTGCCATGGGTAACTGCTCCAGATCCCCCCCCCCTGGTCTTTAAGTGGTTAAGTAATAGTTTTCTGTTTAACAATAATAATATGACGTGCCGAGCTACTAAATAAATAAATGTAAACATCAAAACATGAACATCAGTGCACAAAAGACCCATAAAAGTGAAGATTCAAAAGTGATCACAGAGCACGTGTGGATGTGAGCATCTGTTTGGTGTGTGGTATGCACAGGGCCGTAGATAATTTTTTTTGCTGGGGGGGGTTCAGCTTCCTCAAATTATAAGATTTTATCTAGCAGACACACCAAGGTTTGAAAAAAATATACCAGCCATATCATTCCTAAACCAATCCTTTACCCTGAGCAATACCGATTTTGTTGTTCGACACCATATGGATAAAAACCATGTTTTCAAAAGACTTATAATTGGTACCAATTCACACAAACCACTTAGTATACACTTATTGGGATTTTTTTTTTTTTTAACCAAAAACATTTAGCAGAATAAATGTTGGCCTAATTTTATGAAGAAATTTGATTTTATTTGATATTTTGTATAACAAAAAGTTGAAAATATTTATTTCCAACCATTTTATTTTATTCATTTATATAAAAAAATGAAATAAAAAAAAACAGCGGCGATCAAATAGCACCAAAAGAAAGCTCTATTTGGGTAAAAAATTAGGCGCCTCAGGCTTTCTATTCATTCATACAGGCTTTGAATACTTAATTGTCGGCTTCCGCAGCTCTCCGTGTACCTCCGCGGCAGCCGAAAATGGTAAAATAGTCCGCTATCGCCGCGTCCCTTTGGTAATGCGGACCTGGGCTCGCGTGCCAGCAGAGGGGGCCCCACGTGCCCACTCTGGCACGCGTGCCATAGGTTCGCCACCGCTGCTCTAGACAAACTGTTCCCTTGCCTATGTTTTCCCTTACTGATCCACCTTCAAATCCCCTCATTCCCAGTGCTGCTTTGTTAATTTAGGAGCCACTTCTGGGCTTGTTTCAATTTTCAAGACATTGCCCCTTCTAATCTGTCATGGAGGAGAGACTTGAGTGATTTCAAGCCTACACTCCATGGTGGTTCCGGAGGGGTGCTGCCGCACCAAGAGAAAGGAGAACCGAAGAGAGTCTAAAGCCACTGATCCACCATGGAGGCCCAACACATAGCAATATATTATACAGCAATACAGAATACCAACAACTATAGAGGACTATAAATCTCAGGATTACATTATATAGCAACGCAGAATAATATGAAGTTACATACTCTGTGTTGCTCAGTCTGAGGACGGCTGTGCGGAGTCTGAGGACGGCTATGCGGAGTCTGAGGGCAGCTGTGCGGAGTCTGAGGACGGCTGTGCGGAGTCTCAGGAGTTGAGCTGCAACAACTATTCGATTTAGTAGATTAAAATCAACAATGGAAAACATTGTCAACGTTTTCCATCGTCGATTAGTCGGCTATCAATTTAATTGCTTGTTCGCGGTTCCACACACGAGCCACACGCCGCTTAAGCCACACAAGCCGCGCACGCTGAGGACATGCCTCTGCTCCTCTCCTCCCTGTGAGCTTCCTGACTCACCGCTGCCGGGTGCAAGAGTTTGGATAGAAGATCGCCATAACCACTACTATCACTTTCACTATTTCCATTAGTTTTTAACTTTTTATGGATCATAACCTCTGTGATAACTTTTGAATCTTTACTTTTATGGGTCTTTTGTGCACTGATGTTCATGTTTTGATGTTTACATTTATTTATTTAGTAGCCCGGAACATCATATTATTATTGTTATTCATTTTTGATTACCACGATCAGTAGTGCTTTGTAGCTTGCACTTAGATTTGACTGGCGCAGAGCATATTGATTATTAATAGTTTTCTGTTGTTGTTCTCAGTCTTTCCTGTAAATGCAGAGTACAGTATACAGCCAACCACACAACAAATGTGAATACAATATCAGATACTTTACACTATTTGAGCAATTATTAAAGCTGAACTCCAGGCACAAAAACTTTTAATTAAAAATAAGGGATATAAATTCATATACATTTAAGGGATATAACTTAATTTTGTGTGCACCAAATGGCTTTGAAAACCGCTTTATTACCTTGGAAAAGTAGTAGTAACATCACTACTGTGCAGTACATAGACTGTGCAGAGATGTGGGAGGGACTGAGCAGGCCCCGTCCACTGCAGGCTCCCTGCAAAAACTACAGGAAGGGGTGTAGACAAGACCAGCCACCTGTAATGAAATCGGCGTCATGTGTTCCAACCTGGAGCGCAGCGCCGACGTTTCCCATTGAGAGACGAGCGGCTTGCGTTCCACAGCTCAACGCAACGGCCGCAAGACGCCGTCATACCCCGTCCACTCAAGGCGGCCTATATATACAGGAAACGAGCATAGCAGCGGCGTTCCACTAATAGAGTGTGCGCCCTGCTAGCTCACCTGGGACACAGCCTGTTACACCCGAACCCGGACGGAACCGCTCACCTGCAGCCTGCCTCTCTGGACCACCCGTGGAGGCTTGTTTTCTTCAAGTACCGCAAGTACCATAGTCAGTGTACTCTGTAATGCTGAAGAACGCATGGAGATGGAGCTGTAGGGGTCCGTTAACCGAAAGAGAGAAATCCCGGAGACGTTCTTTGAACCTCTGTCTATATTGTGCAGCTACCGATCACATGGTGGAAGGCTGTCCAGCAATTAAGAAAAAGTCAGAAGGTAAGAAGCTTAACATTTGTAGAATAGGAAACACCTCCCACCGCACCACGGGTTATATC